ACGGACAATCAGTTCAAGGAAATTCATAGACATGATGAAGAGCCTCACAATCAATGTTCCTTTAGTGGAGCACTTGAACAAATGCCTGGGTACGCAAAATTTATGAAGGATTTAGTCACCAAGAAGCGTTCTATGGAGTGTGGAAACAATAAAGATGACTCCAAGTAGTGCGATTGTGCATTCTATGGCCCTGAAACTAGAAGACCCTGGAGCTTTTCACTATTCCTTGCACTATCGGAAGTGCGGATTTTGCTAAGGCCCTATGCGACTTGGGGCTAGCATTAATCTGATCCCTGCTTCAGTCTTCAAGACTTTGGGAATTGGGCAACCTAGGCCAACCTCAATGAGACTTCGAATGGCGGACCGGTCGATGAAGAGGCCTTTAGGTATAATCGACGATGTGCTTGTCCGGATGGACAAATTCATATTGCTGGCCGACTTTGTCATATTGGATTGCGAAGTGGATTTCGAAGTGCCTATTATTCTTGGAAGACCTTTCTAGCTACAGGGAAGGCATTGGTTGAATGTGAAGCAGGGGAGTTAACATTCCGTGTGGAGATGAGAAGTGGTATTGCATGTGTGCAAGTCAATCAGGCATACCCAATAGTAAGAGAGGTGTGTTCATTTGTGGACATTGTCACGGCGGTGATAGTGGATGACACAAGTGCTTTGATTAATGTTGAAGATCCTCTTGAAGCCGTGCTTCTTAACATGGATGCCAAATGATGATGCCGGTATAGAGTGGAGTGCGTGAATGCATTGCATGGAATGGGTTCATATTCATATGAGCCTAGAAAACTATCTTTGGATCTTGAAAATCGCAAACTCCGCCAACCCAAGCCATCAATTGAGAAGCCACCGGTGTTGGAGTTGAAACCACTTTCCTCCACACCTCAGGTATGAATTCTTGGCTCTAATTCTACTCTTCCAGTTATTCTTTCTTCTTGCCTTACTAACTTGCAGGTTGAGGCCACTGTGGAGGTGCTCCAAAAGCGAAAAAGGGCAATAGGATGGACTTTGGCGGACCATCAGGGGAATAAGCCCCGCATTTTGACATGCATAAGATCATCTTGGAGGAGGATGCACGGCCATCTCTTGAACATCAAAGGAGACTCAACAGAGGTGATGCAAGAAGTGGTAAAGAAAGAGGTTATCAAGTGCTTGATGCCGGTGTGGTTTTACCCGATCTCGAACATTCATGGACCTCTCTGGTCCAATGTGTGCCAAAGAAGGGTGGAATGACGGTAGTGACCAATTGCCAACAATGATTGATGATTCCTAGGGTGGTAGGTCGGGTGGGTGGGTGGGTGGGGTGGGGGTGGGTAGGGAGGGGTGGGGGTGGGGGTGGGGTGGGGTGGGGTGGGGTGGGGGGTTTGAATCCAGACCCCAGACAACACCCACCATGATCATTAGTACTTGAAACATAAGAGGGCTGAACAAGCCCTACAAGCAGAAAGAATTGAAAAACTTTCTGCAGAAGAATAAAATAGACATTCTAGGATGTCTGGAAACTAGAGTAAAAGAAAAGAAAGCAAAAAAGATTTTGTACAAGGTAGCAAAGGATTGGGGATACTGCTGCAACTATACAAAGGCTGAGAATGGTAGAATTTGGGTGCTGTGGAAGACCAATCTTTCAGTCAACATAGTTCAAGTTCATGAACAATTCATTCATTGTATAGTGAGTGACTCAGTGACTGGATACCAGATTATGTTGACGGTAGTGTATGCTAGAAACAAATTGCAGGAAAGAGCAAGTTTATGGTGTGACTTACAATTGTTAGGGGGGCAGGTTCAACTTCCATGGCTCATAAGTGGTGACTTCAACAATGTCCTAACCACTGATGATAGGTTAGGACAACCAATTACTATGAATGAGGTGAAAGAATTCAAGGATTGTATTGACTCTATGCAACTGACCCCATTGAAGACAAAGGGTTGTTTCTATACTTGGTGTAATAAGCAGCATGCAGATGACAGGGTATACAGTAAGATTGACTAGGCCTTTGGGAACTTTGAATGGATCAAGGACTATGGGCATGTGGAAACTAATTGCCTAGAACCTGGGGTGTCAGATCACTCACCTATAGTGGTCCAAATATGGAGAAGGAAGAATACATATCCTAAACCATTCAAGTTGTATATGGTAACAATGGAACACAAGGAATTCCAAACTATGGTGGATACAATATGGAAGCGGAAGCTGGGAAATGACCCTATGGACAACATATGGCAGAATTTACAACAATTGAAAACTGAGACTAAAGGATTAAACAGGGAGATGACAAGCTATGAGATAAGATTGAATCAAATAAGACAGCAGCTAGAGTATACTCAGATTAATTTGAAGCTTGATCCCTTTAATCAGGATCTGATTGAGAAGGAAAAGCAGACCTTGCAGGAACTAGAGAAATGGAGTATAATAGAAGAAAGAGTTCTGAAACAGAAGGCAAGAGTAAACTGGATAGACTATGGGGATTCAAACTCCAAATACTTCTATGCACAACTGAAGATCAGAGCAAGTAAGAACTCAATTACTACTGTGTACAATGATATGGGAGCTAGAGTCACAGAACCTAAAGCTGTAGAAAAAGAATTCATCACCTTTTTTAAGCAGCTGATGGGAACTGACAGTGGGATCAAACCATGTCCTAATACCAAATTCATCAAAGCAAGAGTGTGCTTGTCATTGGAACAGCAACAGGAGCTAATAAAGGAAGTAACATATGAAGAGGTTGATGAAGCAGTGAAAGACATACCAAATTATAAAGCCCCTGGAGTTGATGATTTCCAATAGAGTTCTTTAAAAGGCACTGGGAAGAAGTGAACAGGATGTATATGATGCTGTACTGTTCTTTTTTCAAACAAGCAAGATGAAGCAAGCATGGAATTGCACAGCCATAACATTGATTCCAAAAGTTCCTGCACCTACAACTGTGAAAGACTATAGACCTGTTGCTTGCTGTACTACTGTCTACAAAATCATTGCCAAGATTCTGACTAAAAGGATCAAAAAGGTAATTGAAGGTATAATTGGGAAAACACAATCTGCATTCATAGAAGGGAGGAGCATTGTGGATAATATACTGTTTAGCCATGAGTTATTCAATGGTTACAATAGGAAAGGCTTATCTCCAAGGTGTGTACTCAAGGTTGACTTAAGGAAAGCATATGATTCATTGGACTGGTAGTTCCTTAGATATATGCTCACAGATCTTGGCTTCCCTCAGAAATTCATCGTATGGATAATGGAGTGTGTGACAACAGTGTCCTATTCTCTAGTACTGAATGGAGGATTAACTAGACCTTTCCTTGCTAAGAGAGGTATAAGACAAGGAGATCCAATGTCTCCTTACCTCTTTGTGATTGCTATGGAGTACTTGCAGAGAGAGATGAATCAATTAGCTATGCAGAAGGAATTCAAATTTCATCCAAAGTGCAAGAAGCTGGGAGTGACACACATTTGTTTTGCTGACGATTTGTTAATATTTTGTAGGGGTGAGACACAATCAGTTACTATAATGTAGGAGACCTTTAAGAGGTTTTCAAATGCATCAGGATTGCAGGCAAGTGCAGAAAAGAGTTCTATTTATATTGCTGGTGTAGCACAACATATAAAGGAACAACTGATTGAGTGTACTGGATATGAAAAGGGTAGTATACCTTTTAAATATCTGGGAGTTCCACTGTCTGCAAGAAAACTGAACATTCATCAATGTTTGCCTCTGATTGAAAAGATTACAGAGAGAGTAAGATGCTGGTCAGCTAGGATGCTTTCATACTCAGGTAGAATTCAACTCATAAAATCAGTGTTATTTTGAATACAAACGTATTGGGCTCAAATTTTCTTATTGCCAAATAAAATCATGAAGATGATAGAGACTATATGTAGAACCTTCTTGTGGACTGGCTCAACTGATTACTCCAGGAAAGCACTGATTGCGTGGGACAGAATATGTCAACCTAAAGCTACTGGTGGTTTGAATGTGATTAATATGAAGATATGGAATAAAACAGCTTTATTAAAACACCTCTGGGCTTTGGCTATGAAGAAGGATACTTTGTGGATTAAATGGGCTCACATCTACTACATAAAAAGGCAGGCCTATTGAAGAGGTAAGCACACCCAAAACAGCAGCATGGGTGGTGAGGAAGATCATAGAGGCAAAGGATGAAGTACAGAAGCTGAGGTCATTTCATAACAATCTCATAAACACACTGGACAGCTTTGTGAAGCAAGGCAAATTTCAGATACATAAAGCTTATGTCCAACTGCAGCCTAAATTCCCCAAAGTAGATTGGAAGAGTATTCATCTACATGCATAGATCCATCCTAGGTTCAAGTTCCATCTATGGTTGGCTATCCACCAAAAGATAGCAACTGTGGATAGACTTTCCAAGTTTGGAATTCAAGTTCGGTTAGAAAGTGTATTCTGTGCAAAGACTGTGGAAACATTTGATCACCTATACTTTGGTTGTCCAAGTACAAACAAGCTATGGGAAAGAGTATTGATTTGTATGGGCAATGCGAGACAGATAGGAAGCTGATAGCATTAATTGAAATGGATAAGCAGTATGGCAAAAAGGAAAGATTGCAGGGCAGAAATGATCACAACATTGTTTGCAATGGTTGTTTACTGCATCTGGCGTGAAAGGAATTCGATGAGATTTAATAAAGGAAGATACATCATAGATGAACTTTGCAAGGAAATTGCAATACGTATACACATACAAGGCAGAAAGAAGATCAAATAGCGAGCAGAATTGGAAAATTTGAAAATACTCCTTAGTATAGCAATGTGTAATTAATGTCAGTATAGTATAGTTTTTACTTTGTAATAGTGAATAGGAGATTAATGGTCAGCATTAATCTGGGAATGTAAAGCCAGTTTTTTGATGAAATAAAAGCTAAATTTTGTCAAAAAAATGATTAAGTTTCATTTTTCGAAGTGAATGAATAAATACTATGACCCACATCCTGAAGAGGTAGAATAACAAAGGATATAAATGTTATTTGTGGTTTGAAGATCATTGTTGCACGTACCAATCGTACGTCAGAATATCATGGATAATTTGTTAGGTATCATTTAAGGAAAAAAGATACATATCTTGTAGAATAATTTCTACTATGCCAATATTAGTATATTATAATTAGTTATTATTGATTTTTCCAAAGAAAATAACAGCTCATGTATCTTCCCATAATGGATGTACTGACTATGCGGTTGTTGCTTTAATACAAAATATCAAATATTAATGGCATTTCTCCCTGAATAAGATATTTTTCAAAGTTAGTGGTATAAATACTGAAATTCTTAATTTTCGTCATTTATAAATTTTGAATTGTCTTAATATTGTTCATTTGATTATGATTTTCTCCCATGATACCAGAAATGTCTAAGCAATATTTGACAGTACAAAATTTATCAAAAACTCCTGAAGAGCTAATTGTTTGTTCAAAAGACACATGACAACAATAGTGTCCAAATAATATTAGATTGTACATAATAATGAAGGCTCTCGAAGCACTTATATGCATTCATATTATATGATTGTGGTCAAACATATGTTGTAGTAAATCCGAAATTTACTAATACAAATGGTTATCATACTAAGACTACAAACGATCGGAAGATTAAAAATCTTCATATTATCATAATCATGGGGGGGGGGGGGGGAGGGGGATTATCTATACTATATTAAAAGCACAAGCCCCTATCGAAATGTCGTTCGCCTTTTTTATCCTTTAAAAATAAATTTTACATTGAACAAGATTGTAATTTAAGTTAATTTTCTAATATTTAGGACTTTAAAATCAATTAATTTTCTTAGTTATTTTCTTCATTATGACTAAATATGGAGTTAAAGTTATAGTCGTATTGCAATTAATTACTTCAACTTATAAAAGCTAACTTCTTCCACCAATAGTTTTTAAGGACATCGCTTGTTACTCGATTTCTACAATAATAATGAAGACTCTTTAATTTCAAGCTTGGTCCTTTTTTCTGCGTGCTATTAGTTTCTTTTTTTCTTGCCGCTAATTGACCAGTGGTTCATCAATCATGGTAAGGTCCTGGCTTCTTTTATCTTACGAAATTCTAATACAAAGTAAAGCAATTATTTTATCTTATGAAATTCTCGTACAAAGTTAAGCAACATTTTGTTAACAAGTGACATGCACACTTGGAATGAAAAAGAATGAAAGTCGTAGTTGTTTTGATATGCTAACATCCGGTGACAGAGGTAGGATTTTCGCTAATGGGTTCAAAACAAAAAAAAGTTAAAATAATTAAATGAAATTATGAACCAATAATCTCACAAAGCTTTTGAAATCCATTGACCATTGAGTTATGCTTTTGGATTGTGTCAAGGGAATTCAAAATATATCTATAAAAGCACAACACGAGTTTTGTCTTATATGTGCAGTGTAATTTTCCGATGAATAAGATTCGAGTAAACCTCCTTCCACCCCTCTAAATCTACCCAACATCTATAATTGGAAGGTAAAATCATCATTAACGTCCTTTCGTTTTATCTTCATCTTTTTTTTTTTTGTTTCAAATGGAGTACGGTCTTGTATTTTTCTTTTAGTAAAAAATTAAATATGCTTGCAACGCTAGTGCCACTGTTCACCACCGTCACAAAACTTTTATACGCTATTCTACCATAATAGCTCCAGTTACAAGTAAGTTTCATCTTTTATGTATATTAAGAGTTTAATTTTCATACAGTGACAGTGTAAAAAAAAAAAAGCTTAATCTTCATCAGGTTATCAAAAAAAAAAAAGTTACATGTAACAACATATTTCTTATTAAAATTGGACCCCTTTCCTACTTAAACAATGATTTATTTTTTACTTTCAATAATGAGATTAGTTTACTAAGAAAATATTTAAGATAATAAAAGAAAAATGAGAGAGAAACCATACCATAATTAATTAATAAACTTTACTATTATCTAAGATTTTGAAGTCAACTAATTAATTAAGATCTTTTCCGCTTTTCGTTTTGATAAATCAACCACTTCACGAATTTTAGTGGAATCCAATAGGTAATGTGGGCAAAGAATTCTCAATTGGTGGTATATTATAAACATAGATTTTGCTATTACTTGTGATATTTATAATTTTCAGGAGCTTAATAATTTTCTCAAACACATATTTTGAATATTGATTGTTTATTTTTATTAATAAGGGCACACACTCTTACATTTTCAAATGCTACGTGTTCTTGTATAAATGTAACGACCCGACCGTCGTTTTGAGCATTTGCACTTCGCTCGGTTGTGTGAGGGCATGAGTATCTCCATATGATGTATTATGACTTATGTGAATCGTCCGTTTTGAAATTTTCAGGTTATTCGGAATTTATTTAGAAGAATGGTTCTCAGCTAGAAGCTTCAAATTGGAAAGGTTTGACCAATTTTGACTTTTTAGTATTTGACCTCGGATTGGATTTCTGATGGTTTTGTTAGCTGCGTTGGGTGATTCTGGGATTTGGATCACGTCCGGATTGTGATTTGGAGGTTCGTAGTGGAATTTGACTTGAAATGGCGAAAGTTTGAAATTTGGAAAAGTTTGACCGGGAGTGGACTTTTTGATTTCGGGGTCGGATTCCGATAAGTTGGAGCAGGTCCGTAATGTCAAATGTGACTTGTGTGCAAAATTTGAGTTTATTCCGAGTTGATTTGAAATGTTTCAGCGTGAGTTTTTGGAAGTCGAAAGTTCATTAAGTTTGATTTGAGGTATGTTTCGTCGTTTCGATATTGTTATGTGTGTTTTGAGGCCTCGAGTAGGTC